CACAAGTAGTTCTTGATATCCAGAAATTGTAATCATGGCCGAAGGTTGAGGTTGCTAGCATTTACCAAGACCTTGATAATATTTATTCTTGATATCACGAATGCATTGTTGCAAAGAACGTAATTCTCATCCACTCAGGAAGATTGCTGTTCAGTGGAAAAGTTTGTTTGTGCAATGAACTGTTATTTTTTTAATTGGCCAAAGAGTGTATAATTACGCAGCTCTTGAATGATGCACCACTCCCTTCTACAGCAGTAGTGCTAGTTAGTATACATCAAAGTCTTAATCTATATTCTGCAAGCTGCAGATACTTCTACAAATGTCATTATCTGTCGAGTCAATGCAGGCTCATAGCCATTCAGGAGTTACATGTACTTGTTATCTGTTCAGCTTGGCTGGGAAGCTACTGCACAAAGAGTTTTTGGTCTTGATCAGATTTAAAACTACAAACTGATAAGAAAAAAAGTGGATAATGTTGAGACAAAAATATGAAGAAATCCATGGACATAGCTAAGAAAGGATTCAAAAATAATTATCTGAAGATGAAAGTGATTGAAAAAAGTGATAAGAAGCACAAAGGTGTCAGAAACAAATAAAGTCTCCTTGTGGTTTCACTAGGATAGATGCTGAATTTTCACTACTTGATGATTTCCTGTTGAAGACATTAGGAATTCTCTATATGTCATGAGCTGGTATCTCAAACAGTAAACAATGTTCATTTCAAACTTAGATCTTGTTAGGATTAACAAATGGCATTGTAAAGACCTTTGATGTCAGCAAGAAGGAAGTCATTGCTGAATGTAGTCATTCTATTGGAGAAGGAAAGCTTAAAGGACTCTTCAAGTGGGAAAGGTTGGTTATAGACAACTTAAGAGTAAATTGAGTGGGGAACATTTTTGAAGAAACATTTCTTTTTCATGCGATCCCTTTGTTGGGGACAAAATGAATTGTTCACAGAATTTTTCTTTTGAAAAATCCAGTCAATGAATAGTAGTAATAATATTGAGTTCTTAAGAATGGCTGCAGTTATAACCTAAGAGTTGAGTATTTGCTCAAGCTATAATATAGTTCTATTTAGACATGATGATAGATGTGAATGCAGCCATAACACTACCGGAAAAAAGACTTCAAAAAATTTTTCAGGCTTTGAGCAGGGTTCGAACCCACAACCTTTGCAATACCGTTGCAGTGATTTCCCAACTGAGCTATCAAAGCCACATGATTAAAGCGGCTGTGTGTGGGTTGGCCCTTTATGTTCAGTGGACGTAATCCCGTTCAAAGCCTGAAAACTTTTTCACATCTTTTTTCCAGTAGTGTTATGGCTGCATTCGCATCTATCGTGATGTCTGCATTTAATTGCTATTGTTGGACACCTATTACTATTGCTCTATTTGTTACATATGTTATCGAATATGAGAGAATCATAGTCAGTTTAGTGTTATGTACCTGTTGGTTATTTTATCACCAAGTACCCAACAAGGGGGAATAGAACAAAAATAATTTGTTAATTACAATCCTAGTATTATCTATTTTTAATTATAGACTCATTTTTGTGTTCATAGTGCAGTTGTGACAGGTGCAGAGTCAGGACAACTAAAAATTTGGAAAAATGATGAAGATTCTGTAAGTTATGAAAGTTCAATACACTTTTGAAACAACAAGTGAAAGAAGGCATGTTTATATAAGAATTATTTTATTTGAACTCTGGATAATAATTCTTGCCATTTCTAGACTAATTTGAACAGCATAAAACACTTAACCATTGTGAGATGGTATCAGGATTAAGGAAAAATTGCTTTTCTGAATAACTAATTATAAAAAAAATGTCTTATTGAAATGCATGCAAGTTTATAATAAATTATCATTTAATACTGTAAGTCAAAAATATTTCTGTTACTTTTATACTCAATGGAGTACAATAAATAAATCCTTTTTAAGTATGAAATGAATTGTTGCACAAATTGGCAGCTTCTATTTTAGAGTAATTTTTGCACCCTTAGTCAATATAATTTTAGTTTAACAAAAAAATGCTATTACTTCTTTCCTCAGACAGATGTTAAAGTTGGAAGTCATATTTCTGCCATGCGTCAGAATCCCTCATGTCCATCTCAAGTGGGAACAGGTGGACAGAAGAATGATTTGAAACTCTGGGACCTTAGCAGACCTGACGAGCCAATCTTTAGAGCCAAAAATGTAATATGCACAGATTTATTAATATCTGTCAGTTACTACATGTGCTGTGATTTGTCAATTTGTTCAGCCCACTGAAATTTGAAGCTGTTGTTGTCACCTA